CTCTCGGCTCCCCCCGTCCTCTCGCTCCCTGTCTGCTCCTCCGTTCTGGTCTCTTCTTTCGGTTGTTTCTCCTGTTCTCGTTGTTTCTTCCTCTTTTTTTTCCCTTTTTCCCCCCCCCCCCCCTTTTTTTTTTTTTTTTTTTTTTTTTTTTTTTTTTTTTTTTTTTTTTTTTTTTTTCCCCCCCCTTTTTTTTTTTTCCTTTCTTTTTTTTTTTCCCTCTTTTTTTTCTTGGTCTTTATATCTCCTTTTTATCCTCACTCGTGCCTTTTCTTTGTTTTTTTCTCCCTCCCCTTTTTTCTTTCTTTTCTGTTTTCCTTTCTCCTTTTCTTTCTTCTTTCCCTTATCGTTTTTATTTCTTCATTTTTTTTTCTTCCTGCCGACTTAAATTTGTTTCTTCCGATTTAAATTTGTTTCTTCCTTAATTTTTTTCTTCCTTTATTTTTTCTTTCTTCCTTTATTTTTTTCTTTCTTCTTTTCTGCCGTTTTCCTCCTTCTTTCTGCTTTTTCCTCTTTTTTCTTTCCCCTTTTTCTTCCCCCTTTCCCTTCCTTTCGTTTCCCCCGTTTTTTCCTTTCCCCTTTTTTTTCCCTACTATTTTTCCCCATCCCTACTTTTCCTTCTTCTTTTTTCCCCTTTCCTACTTTTTTCTTCTTTTTTCCCCTTTCCTCATTTTATTTCCTCCTTTTCTTTTTTCCTTTCTTCCCCCTCACCCCCCTTCTTCTTTTTTTTGTCTTCTTTTTATTTTTCTTTCCTCCTTCTTTTTCCTTTTCCCTCTTCTTTCCCCTCCCCACCGTCCCTCTCCCACTCCCGCTGGCCGCCCCGACGTGCGCCGGCTCTCGGTTGAGGAACGGCGACTTTCGCGTCCCTATCCCTCCTTTTTCCTCCCTCTGCCGCCACCCCGTGTACCCCGGTAAGACGCTGTGTCCCCCCGCAGAGCACACCTACGGGGAGGTGAACCAGCTGGGCGGTGTTTTTGTCAACGGGCGGCCGCTGCCCAACGCCATCCGGCTGCGGATCGTGGAGCTGGCGCAGCTCGGAATCCGGCCCTGCGACATCAGCCGGCA